CTTCAGCTGCAAATATTATTGTGTTCCTTAAAATAGACAAAGAATACCTTTGTGTATGATAATTCAAGACCTCCATCTGCTATTCATGCTTTTTCATCTTTGTCTAGCTTTTTATTGCTCCAGCTTAAGTATTCCGGTATGGAAAGACTGCATATTAGAAAACAAACATTTTTTATTTTATCAGCATCTCCAAAATTTGCACTGAGCATCCTATTTCTGTCAGTCTAATGGGATGGGTCGTGTACTCCTCCATGACTAGTATTGCTGTCACTCCTGAACAGCAGGACATGTGATTTAAGTGGGTGATTCAGTACTCAGTCTTGTTTCCAAGTGGCACTGCATCTAACAAACCTGGCAGAGGTGCTATTTGAGTGGCAACAGCCTGGGAACTTGAATGCATAACCCTCTCAACGGGAGTCAAATACTCAACTGCTTTTTCTGTGCAGTTTGCTCTTTGCAAGACATCTTAATATTTCTCATTTTGACCTGGTTCTCATTCACACAATTCACAATAAAATATTAAATTACGGTTGAGCCATATCAAGTATTCATTACGTCATGTTTGAATTGACATTTATTAAAGGTAAAATATTAATAAAACTTTTCAGTACATGTTATATATTAAATTAGCTGATATTTTATTCCCATAAAAGCAGATTTAAATGCCCACAGGTCAGCTTCAAAGATTATTGCATTGCATATACCATGATATTGAATCTTTTTTACCAGACAAACATCTTTCATTACTGTAGTTATAATTAATCATATACAAAGAAACAACGGTAGGCAATTCAACCGCTCAAGTCTATTCTCTCAATTAATTTGACTATGGCTGTACTTTCTGTATTAATCCTCCCACTCTACCATCTTTGATTTGCATCCCTTGAGAAAAAAGAAAGGGATTTGCATTTATATAGTGCCTTTCGCAATGAATAGATGTTCCAAAGCACCTTATAAATAAATAGGTGTGTGCACTGCTGTAATGTTGGAAACTGTGACAGCTAATTTGCACACAATACTGTGAACTATAGTAGTCAATTTAATGTAGTACCCCCACAGCGTTGTGAAGGAGGAAGTTCCAGAATTATGAACCAGTGACACTGAAATGATATTAATTCAAGGATAAATATTGGCTAGGATACTGCAGATAACGCCTCTGCTCTTCTTTGAAAAGATGCCATGTAATCTTTTATGTTCACCTGGGAGAGTAGAAGGGGCTTCTGGTTGAACACATCATCTAACCGACATCACTCCTGATGGTATCAGCCTAGATTCTTGTATTGGCGTCTTAAGCATCTGACTCAGAGGCACTAGACATACCAACTGAGCCATGGTGACACCCTTTCTGAACAGTAATCTATTGACAACAGTGCTACTGTAGTTGTCCAACAATTTCTATATGCCCCACTACCATAAGCTTCTTCCTCCACAGTACTCATATTTTGTGCAGCTAGTAAAAGGGCACCATTCAGAGTGACTGTGGAAGCATCAGTCAGAAAGCTGTCATTCAAATGTCACACAACCTGGCTGATGTGATGCTGGGACTCCTAATTTGGAGAATAAATGCTCTGACAGCCTTACCATTATTCATTCTGCAACGATTAACCACGAGTTCTGCACTGACATTAACTAAGGTCATAGATAACCATTTTTCAGCTAAGGGGAATAGGTGAACTGTCCACAAAGATTGCAACAGGTGTTCGGGCAGCAGTGGCATCAAATGTATGTCTGCTTCGTAGGTTTGGACAATGCTAGGAAAGATGCCTTGACAAATTGCATAAATGCACCTAATAGCTGGTATGCATTTGACAAAATGCTCCAATGGTAGAAGGAGTGAAGTTGGTGGATGGGGTACCAGTTAAATTTACTTTCTATTTATTCATGAGAAGTGGCCAGCATTTATTGCCCATCCTTTGCGATGTTGGGGAGCTGTCTTCTTGAAATATTGCATTTCATTTGATGTAGTAATACCTGCAATTCTGTTACAGAGGGAGTTCCAGGAATTTGGCCCAGCCTCACAAATGACAATATATTTATATCACAGAATGATGAGTAGTTTGGAGAAGTCTTGCAGGTGGTCGTTCTCCCATGTATCTACTGTCCTTGCCCTAGATGTTAGTGGTTATTTTTTGGAAAGTGCTATCAGAAGAGCTTTGGAGAATTTCTGCTGTGCATCGTGTAGATTGGACATACAACAGCTACTGAACGTTGGTGATGAAGGGGAGTGAATGTTTGTAAATGTTGAGCCAACCAAGTGAGCTGCTTTTTCTTGGATGGTATCAAGTTTCTTGAGTGTTGTTGGAGTTGCATTCACTCATGTAAGAGGGAGTATTCCATCACATTCCTGCCTTGACCCTTGTAGATGGATGGATGTGATTGGAGGTGTGGAGGTGGGTGGTCAGGAGGTGTTAACTTGCCTGATAATTCATGACCTCTGACCTGCTCATGTTGCCACAGTATTAAATGGATGGTCCAGCTCCCTTTTCAGTCAATGGTGACAGCCCTCTTCAACAAAGGCAATTCTCTCTAACTCCATACCAATGTGTTGTTACCTCAGATGTGTCTGACTTACCAGAGAGACAAGGGATAGTGATGCTAATGTCCCGGATATTGTCTGTCAGGTATAATTCCGTGGTTAACATTACATCAGACTATTGCTTAATTAGTGCATAGTTCTCCTAAACAGGGCACAAGCCCCCAGACATTTGTAAACAGGATACAAAATGGGTGTGCTATTACTGTTTCTGGTGTCTAGGTTCATGTCAAGTGGTCCATCTAGTTTTATTTTATTCATTATCAGGTTTTCTCTAATAGTTTAGGACAGCTGGGTGGCCTGGTCATTAACTTCAAAGTTCAGCGAAGAGTCCAGCACATCACTGCGGATCTGCAGTCACATGCAGTTCAAACCATATGAACATACAAAATAAGAGAAGTTTACCATTCGACCCCTCAAGCCTGCTCCGCCATTCAATAAGTTCATGGTTGATCTGTTTGTGTTTCATATTCCACATTCTCATCTACCCTGATAAATCTCAAGTCCCCTGCCTAAGACTTCTGTCTTAAAAATATTGAAAATCAAGTAAGAATGGCAGTTTTTCTTCTCTGGAAGACACAAATAACCATGATTTTTTTTTTAACAATGGTTTTGATGTTACCATTACAGCTTGATTAGCTATATTTAAATTTCACAACCTGCCATGGTTAAGATTTGAGCCCCAGAGCATTAACATGGCCTTTCGGATGACCAGTTCAGTAATATTACAACAATGCCACCACTATCCCTTATATCTTTGCTGGGGTGTGATGCCTAAAACTGAATAACCCTGTGCTCCACATGGTATCTAGCCAAGATTTTCTGAAGCATTAGTTCATTACTATTGAGTTTGAGTAATGAAAGCTACCATCCCTATGTACCTTAATAATTGTCATATTTTGTGTATGTGCAGAGCTGTTGGAGATTTGCACGTATGGAGAACTGAAGTCCTTTGTTCTTCTACATCTTGTTCAGCTACAACAGTAAAGAAACATTCTGAAAAGAAAATGAACTGCAGATGCAGGAAGCCTGAAACAAGAACAGAAATCGCTGGAGAAACTCAGCAGATCTGGCAGCATCTGTGGAGAGAGAAACAGAGCTAACACTTCAAGTTTAGTAACTTTTCTTCAGAACGGTTAGGGTTCTGCACTGACTTTCTGGGATACCAAATTCGTGATCTCACATTGTTCACAATGTAAGCATCGATCCTTGTAATTTTCTTATAGTCTATGTGGCTGTCTGAGGACCGTGCATGGTAGCAGCTTCCAGAGCCAGAAGTCAATGCCAACACCAATCACCATGCACGGAACTTTGGAGCAGCTCCACCCGCATGCAGTTTAGAGGGAACTTTGTAAGCCATTTGCCACAATTTTGCTCACTCACTTAATCTGTCTATATCCTTCTGCACACAACTTACTGAGGCTCTTCGCTTAGTGTAACCTGCAGATGTAGATGCATTAATTCTATGCACTAATGTAAATTATGAACATTTACTAGGAAATACTGAACCTGGTACAGAATCTGGAGAACACTACTTCTCACGTCCTGCCAATCATTAAATGACACTTCTACCTCCACTCTCCGCCTCAGATTTCCTGATAAACCCAGATACAAAATCTCTGAGCTTGCATCATTATGAATATTTTCAATTCAAATCCTTAAGAATTGCCTTCCGAATATTAACATTGACTAGGCACTAGTTTATACACCACGCCACTGAACTGTCCAAAAATTCAACTGGATGGTAAGACATGACATCTTCTTCAAAATTTGAAATTTGTCCAAATGCTTAGTTATTCTTTCTCTGTTCCTCAATAACTCACTCATAATTTATGTGAAACTGTCTGTAGTTACCTAGTTCCTCCCTGCTAGCCTTCTTAAATAATAGTGATGTGTGAAATTTTTCAACCCAAAGATATAATTCTTGGATCTAGGGAGCAGTGAAAAAGCAGAAGGGAGAAGTCCTGCAATCTGAGTAAGAACCAGATAAGGGGAAAAATAGAGCAAAGTGCTGTCGCAGGAGAACGAATCACAGCAGCTGAGCACACTGGTAAACTTTCAGTTAAATAAACGAATTAAAAAAGATTATTTCAATTAATTAGCATAAAAACGGAATCCAGCCTGGTATTTTATCCTGTAATTACAATCAGTGTTCAATTAATTAATCAGATTTAGGCGATAAAGTTTAAATCGCAAGGGATGGAAGCACTAAAGGTTTCTGAATTTTTCTGTAAATTAAAATCTGAAGCATATAGAGTGAAGTAAAAAACATTTAAGTTAACACCTTATAAACTAATGTGATATTGTCACAAGGGAAGCAGTTAATTAGTGTCTATCCCACCATAAAAGCTGGTATAATACCAGTTGAATAAGTTCAATTAATAAATAAATACAGAATTGAAAATGCGAGCCATGAAACCATCTATGTTTGTCCTTAAAACCCATTGAAGGAAATATGCTGTCCTTACCTGCTCTGGCCTATATGTGTTGAAGATCCAGCACAGTGTAGCTGATTCTTAACTGTTCTCTGAAATAGCCTAGGAGCCAATTAGTTCCGAGGATAAGTAGGGCTGTATAAGACATCAGTTGGAATATTGAGTACAAAAGTTGGTAAGTCAAGTTGAAGATGTATAAAACTTTAGGCCACATTTGGAGCACTGTGTGCAGTTCTGGTAGCTGCACTATAGAAAAGATGCGGAAGTCTTGGAGAGGTTGCAAAAGAGGTTTAGCAGGATATTATCTGGATTGGAGTGTATTAGCCATAAGGAGAGGTTGTGCAAACTTGGACTGCTTTTGCAAGAGTATCAGAGGCTGAGGGGAGACTTGATAGAATTACACAAAGTAATGGAGAAGTACGATCTCAAGACTATCAGTTCGGTAAGCAGTCCTACTCTTTTTCATTCCCAGACTGATATTTTGGAATTTTTCGAAAGCTGCATCTGCACATGACCCTTATCTCAAGTCCCAATTTTCAGCCCATGACCAGAAACTGTCAGCAATTCAAACGTACACTTGTCTCAGCGACATATTCTCTTGAGCTCTATAAGGTAGAAGAGTTGGGCTGATTTGGGACTTGGAAAGGAATTTATGTATGGTGGAAAAGGACACGGATGAGGTGTTATGTGTGTACTCTGCACTTTTTTCCCCAAGGAAGAAGATGCTTCCAACATCATAGTAACAGGAGGGTAGTTGAGGCATTGGTTGGGCTAAAAATTGATAAGAAGGAGGTATTAGAAAGGTTGGCTGTGCTTAAAGTTGACAGGTCACCAGACTGGTTACGATGCATCTGAGGATACAGAGAGACAGGAGGGTAGAAATTGCAGAGATACCTCTTAGGGTGGTACCAGAAGTCTGGAGAATTGCAAATGTTATACCCTTGTTCGAAATTGGCTGTAAGAATAAGCCAAACAACTCAGAAAATATCAAAACTCCAATCCAATCTATCTCAGTGTTTGGCAGATGTTTAAAAAATGGCAAATCTAAACAGTCACTTGGACAAATGTGAAACAACTAATGACTACTGGCATGGATTTGTTTAATTCATGTTTAACTAACTTGCTTGAACTTTTTTTGATGAGGTTACAGAACAGGTGAATATAGATTATGCGATTGATAGGCTGTTGTACAAGGATTGCCAAAAGGTATATGATAATGTACCACATTACAGACCTGTTCAGAAAGGTTGAAGCCATGGAATAAAACGCTAGGTGCAACCTGGATACAAATTTGTCTGAGTAATTGGAAACAGAGTTGTGGTTAATGGATGTTTATTGGCCAGGACAAAGGTAGGTAGAAGGGTTCTACAGGGATTGGTATTAGGATCACTGCTCTTCTTGATCTTGATTAACGAATTGGACTTGGATCTACAGGGCACAATTTCAAAGATTTCAGGTGACACTAAACCTGGGAATATATTGCTGAAGTGAGAGATATGTTGCCAAAGCCTTTTATCTTGTTTTTATCAGGGCAGATCTAAAGATGACACATTTCAAGTAACCACAACAGCTTATATTACAGGATAAAGGGAGGCTGATTTATTGGTGAATCAACTCAGATTGGCCAAGGCATTGACATACAGAAAGAAATGGAGAAATGTAGGTTTCCCAATTTGCTGAGTAATTCAAAAATACTATTAAACCTTGAACATACACCTTTTGTTTGCAGAGGTTGCGTCCCTGACAACGAATGTATGTTTCTTCTGGCAAGTGTAAATGAACAAGGTTACGAGCTTGACTGATGTTCTTAAGTTAGAAGTTCAGGCACCAGTGGTCAGACGAGTCAAGTGTGCCAGTTGACACTGCATACTCTCACTACAGGAGCCAAGCAGGGGGTACAGGCATAACCAAGAAAAAGAGACAGGTAGACTTGTCTAATGAGCCATTCCATGGCACACTGCCTGAACCTATTCATGTCCACCTTAACCAGGACCTAGAACAGACCCACAGGGAGGTCATCTGATCTGCCTGCCCCCTACAGTTTCAGGTGGCCAAAGATCAGAAGCATGGGATTAAATTGCAACTGAAGATTTAGAAGCAGCGCCTCAAATAGGGGAACAGAGGCTGCAACTTCAGACAACCTATAATGACATGGAACACAGGTTTTTCAAAGCCACAGGAAATCCAGGCTCCTCTGAAGTCCTTGAAGCATCTTTATCAACATGTTCCATTCCAAATCCACGATGGTAAATGAAAGGATTCCTCATAGGCAGTCAACTACCCAACAAGAACAACCACCCCTCCCCTGCCATTTGTTGGCAGTATGGCATATCCAGACATTCATGAGAAAAGTTCCCTGTAAGCTGTCCTCCTACTGCATGAACCTACTAGGTTAGTATGTGGCAGTAGGTATTGGAAGTGTCAACATATCAATCAGCCTACATGACCACCACCTTTGACGAATGTTGTTAATGAGATTGAGGAAACGGAGGGTTTATAACAGCAGCCCAGACAAGAAGCCCCTCAGTGAAAAGTTGAATGGCATAGAAACAATTTCTGTAAAATGCCACCAGTTGTGGGGCTGGAGTTCCTGAAGGAGGTGGAGCTGGGAATTATGGTGTATGTATCATTGACTATGATTTGAACAATTCAAGAAGATAATTCAATAAGCACTGAGCATCCTGCATTCTATAAATTGAGGCACTGAGTGCAAAAGGTTATGGTGAACCTTTGTATAAATTACTTAGGCCTCAATGGAATATCATGTCTAATTCTGGATACAGATAGATCTTTAGAAGGATGTGAAAGCATTAGTGGTTGCAGAAAAGATTGAATGGAATGGTTCCAGCGATGAGGTACTGCAGATTCAAGGAGAGATTGGATACGTTGGGATTCTTTTACCTTTAGTGATGGTCAAAGCCAGCATGGATATGGATAGAGTAGATAGCAAGAAGTTGTTCTCATTGAAGTCGAAAGATTGAAAACCAAACAATTTTGCTTTGAGGTGAATGGGAACAAAGATTAGCATTTCATTTTTACACTCAGTGAGTGATTATGATCTGGAATGGAGTACATGAAAATATTCTGAAGGTATGTTTAGTTAATAGCTTTCAGAAAGAAACTGGATAATTATCTGAATAGAAAAACACTGCGGTGTTACAGGAAAAGGACAGGGCAGTGGGACTGTCTCTTGCAGCGAGGCCATATCAGTCACAATGGGCCAAATGGGCCAAATGAAACAGACCTCCTGTGCTGTAACCACTCATCATCCTCTGATCAGAGAAGCTTAAATACATGTGCAGAATTGTTTAACAAATGTCCACTACTTCTAATGTTACCGATTATGATGATGGTATTGATTCAAAGTACTGTAGCTCCTTCACCTTTTTACAATTAGATTCAAATGTAAATGAACTTGAAGTAACAGTGTAATTATACCTCTCATGAGTGATGATCCCATTTTTGGTTCTCCATGCATTAAGCGCCAACAGTAAACTAGAACCCTGCTTAATATAGCATGAGATTTATCATGTTCAAACTCATTTATCAAACTGAATGGTCAAAGCAGGAGTAGCTTTGCGTTTTCTCTTGCCAGACAGTGCTGGCATCTACTTAGTGATGAATGTGCATCAAAATCACAGTATTGCAGAAAGTCTGCGTCATGAATGACTGACACCATACTACCTACTGATAAAGTAAACAGGATGTCCAATTGCACTATGATTCATAATCAACCATGTTAGTGACAGTGAAACACTTGCTCCAAAAATAAATGAACACAATTAATTTGCTCTGTCATCATGCAAACACATACAACAGGCATTGTGTTAACGAGGAGTGCAAAAATGTATTTATAAGGTGTTGCTGCCCTCTACTGCAGAAGGTCCTTGTAATCTGTGATTTGTGATTGCAATACACACATACATCAAAAACTATCACTGTAACATTGATGTTTTGCTCCCAAATCACTAAAATTTAAAATACTGTACTGCAAACCTTGTGTTCTAAACATGATGTGATATGGTTTCTCCACATGCAAGCAAGCAGTTAGTGGGAATTACTGAATGAAGTGCAGTAGATAGGTGGTTCAGTAGGTGAAGGTGAAAAATGGATTAATGTTGGCTCAGTTGCTCACACTCTCACCTCTGAGTCACAAGGTTGTTGGTTCTAACCCAGGGACTTGAATACAAACTCTACAATAGAAATATTCATAATCAGCATTATCTGTGACTACTTACCACAATTCGGGTTTTCACTGTACAGCAACATCTTTATCAAGTACCTTTAGACTCTGATAGGTACCCATGGCAGTGCTGATACATCTGGTTTGAAGATTAAGAGTTAATGCAAATGAATTCTGCTGCCTGCTAACATAATGCAGACCATGTAGATCATGCAGTCAATGCGCAGTGCTAAATGGAAAGTGGCACAACCATTTTTGTAAAACTCAAGTCTGCTCTTAATCCCATAGCACTGAGCATGTACTCAAAGATCTGAGGGCAGAACAAACATGTTATTCAAAGGGGTCATCAGCTAACTATATAGTAAGCAGCTGGGGTTTTTTTTGGCTGTTGCTGCAATCTCCAAAAAGAGAGGATCCCTGGAAGTTCAAGAGCATTTCCCTCATTGAAGTCTCCCACCATCAACATCCTCAGAGTTACCATTGAAATTAACTGAATTAGAATAGCCTTTTTTTTAAATATTCTCTCATGGGACTTGGCTATCACTGGCTGGCCAGCGTCCCTGGTTGCCCTTGAGAAGGTGATGGTGAGCTGGAGCGTTATTTAAAAACTGTGTTAGAGTTAGATGTGGTACCTCTGCTGGAACTTATCTTCTGATGCTCCCAAGCATTACCAATTTGAAGCATTGGATGAAATAAATAACATACAAAAATGGATTTCAACATTTTGTTTTCAAATAGCCTTCAAAATCAGATTTTAGACAATAAAACGCTGAGCTATTTAGAAGTCTGTTTTTTTTTTATTTGCTTGTGGGACATGAGCAATGTTAGCTGTGCCAGCATTTATTACCCTTCCCTAGATGCACTTCAGACCTTTTGTGGGGACCCGCTTTCTTGAATCACTGCAGTGCATGTGCTGTAGGTAAACCCAAAATGTCCTTAGGGAGGAAATTCCAGGGTTTTGATCCAGTGACAGTGAAGGAATATTTCCAAGTATTTCCAAATATTTCCAATGTTTCCAAGTCAGGATGGTGAATGACATAGAAGGGCACTTGAAGTTCATGGTGTTCCTATGTATCTGCTTCCCTTGTCCTTGTAGATGGAATTGGCCACGCATTTGGAAAGTGCTATCTAAAAATCTTTGGCAAATTTCTACAGCTTCTCTTGTAGATAGTATACACTTCTGCTAATAAGCATTGGTGGTGGAGTGACTTTCATTCAAGCAGGCCATTTTATCCTTAATATTTTCAACCACTGAGTGTTGTTTGAGCTGCACTAGTCCAGGCAAGTGGACAGTTTTCATCACACTCCTGACTTGTGACTTGTAGATGGTGGACAGATACTGGGAAGTAGGAGGTGAATTACTTGCCACAGAATTCCTAGTCTCTGATCTAAGTTTATAGTCACGGTTTTGGTATGGCTGCTCCAGTTCAATTCCCAGTCAACGGTAACCCCCCGGAAGTTGATGGGGAGATTCAACAATAGGAATAGCATTGGGATCATGATTACACTTTTCTTTGTTGGATATTCATTTCACTGCACTTGTTTTGTGCTTGCCCAGGATATTTTGCCCAGGCTAATTTCCTGTATTGTCAGGAATGCAATCATTAGAAAAGTAAACTGTAAAGTAAAATATTTTGAAGCAAATGCATTTTTCTAAATTTTGATCATTCTTTTCTAATTACTCTTTAATGGTGAAGGTATTGATCCCAGCAGCTCAGGGAAATGTCCATTTAGCCTATGTGTGGCATTGAATGTTGATTGATTTACTAAGATCACTCTCCTGCTCGTCAGTGGGTGAGGGGGTACTGTGAGAATGTGTTGCTGAATGCATTATCTCCTAATTAATCACAAAGAGCAGGTTTGGAGCAAGATTAACACTACTGCTCATGATACCAGCTCTGACAGAGAACACAACTCCGCCACTCCGCCCACCGCTGGCACCGATGCAACTCCGCCCACAGCCGACGTCGCTCCGCCCACAGCCTCCACAGCCAGTAGCTCCAGAGGGGACAATAGCACCCAGCCCTGCCGAGTCTTCACCATCCCCCCAGACCTACCCCTTACTGAGGACGAACGGTCAGTCCTCAGTAAAGGGCTCACCTTTGTCCCCCTCCACCCACAGATCAACGAATATCACTCACGCTTGGACATAGAGCAGTTTTTCCGCCGCCTCCGCCTCCAGGCTTACTTCTTCAACCGTGAACCTAACCCTCCCTCTGACCCCTTCTCCCGCTTCCAACACACCCCCTCTTCCTGGACACCACCCCAAGGCCTCCTACCCTCCCTCGACCTCTTCATCTCCAACTGCCGTCCAGACATCAATCGCCTCAACCTCTCCATCCCTCTCACCCACTCCAACCTCTCCCCCGCAGAATGTGCAGCCCTCCACTCCAATCCCAACCTCACCATAAAACCCGCGGACAAGGGAGGCGCAGTTGTAGTATGGCGCACTGACCTCTACATCGCCGAGGCCAGACGCCAACTCTCCGACACCTCCTCCTACCGCCCCCTTGATCATGACCCCACCCCTGAGCACCAAACCATCATCTCCCAAACCATCCACAACCTCATCACCTCAGGTAACCTCCCACCCACGGCCTCCAACCTCATCGTTCCCCAACCTCGCACTGGCCGCTTCTATCTCCTTCCCAAAATCCACAAACCTGAATGCCCTGGTCGACCCATTGTCTCCGCCTGCTCCTGCCCCACCGAACTGATCTCCAACTATCTGGACTCCATTTTCTCCCCCTTGGTCCAGGAACTCCCTACCTATGTCCGTGACACCACCCACACCCTCCACCTCCTCCAGAACTTCCAATTCCCCAGTCCCCAACACCTCATCTTTACCATGGACGTCCAGTCCCTCAACACCTGCATTCCCCATGCAGATGGCCTAAAGGCCCTCCGCTTCTTCCTGTCCCGCAGGCCCGACCAGTCCCCCTCCACTGACACCCTCATCCGCTTAGCCGAACTCGTCCTCACCCTCAACAGCTTCTCTTTCAATTTCTCCCACTTCCTACAGACAAAGGGGGTGGCCATGGGTACCCGCATGGGCCCAAGCTACGCCTGCCTCTTTGTAGGTTACGTGGAACAATCCCTCTTCCGTACCTACACCGGCCCTAAACCCCACCTCTTCCTCCGTTACATT